AAAAAACATTTTAAATAATCTCCTTCAGTTTTTTAGGATTATTTAAGGCATTTTTTGCCCAAAAAAATTGACCAATATTATTTAAGGCATTTTTTTCCTAGAGAAAGCCTTAAATAATCCTATTCAATTTTTTGGGGGGATTATTTAAGGTGTTTTTAGTTAGAAAAACACCTTAAATAATCTTCTACAAAAAATTGAATGAGATTATTTAATGTATTTTCTGGCAAAAAAAATATTAAATAATTTCCAAAAAAATTTATCAGCATTAAATAATTTTTTTTGGCCAAAAACATTTAAAATAATCCAAAAAAATCTTATAAGTAATCCCTAAGAATAAGCATTAAAAAGAATTATCAAACCTACAACCTTATGGTTAATAATAATATATTTTAACCAAGTAACCTACTCTATTTTTTTATATTTCATCTCTTAAATTTTATAAGTAATGAAAATGATTATTTAAGACATTTGTATTAAAAATACCTTAAATAATGCCTTTCAAAAATATTAAAACACTAAAGGGAGAGGTTGAACCTACGACCTTGTAGTTAATAACCATATACTCTAATCGACTAAGTTACTTCAGTTTGTTTATATTTTATCTCTTAAATCTTATAAATAATGAAATGAATTATTTAAGGCATTAAAAATGCCTTAAATAATCCTTTCATATTTTTTAAATAACATTTATTTAAGGCATTTTTTGACCAAAAATGCCTTAAATAATCCCCTCATATTTTTTAAACGGCATTTATTTAAAGCACTTTTAGGCCAAAACTGTCTTAAATAATCCCTTTTAAAAAAATAAATGGGATTATTTAAGGCATTTCCCAATCGAAAACACTTTAAATAATCTCTAATATTTTTTGGTTGATGATATTTTATAAATAAAACTAGCAATCAAATAAAATGTCTTATTTTGCTGTTAAAGGCATCATTTATCATTTAGGTATTTATTATTAATAAAAGTTAATAAAAAAGTTACTATCATATATGTCAAAGAAATTATGATAATTATTCAAGAATTAATATATATAGATTTCTCTAAACCAAATGAGTGAATCTGAACACGAGTTACCCTAAAAATGAAAGAAAACCCTAGGTATCATACTTTTTTAGGGATCACACTTTCCCTAGAAATCCAAGATTTCTCGAACCAAATGCCCTTTTATAATTCTCTTTCATTTCTTCTAGGACTTTCTCCTCTTCAAGCAAAAGCTTTTGATTTCTTAAAGGAAAATCTAATATCTAATAGCCATTAAGTTAAAATATTTCCATAAGCATATCTTTGCAAACCTTTTTTTTTTCTCTCACGTAAGTGTTGTGCACATACTCAAACTCTTTCAGCCTCTTACTACTTTCCTAAATCTCTTCCCTAAAATAAGACATCACAACCTTAAATTTTAGTTACATATTTAAGTATAGGCTTGACATTTTGAATGCATGTCTTAACTAGAACAACCTTTTATTCTTCAAAATATCTTTTAAGTTGGATACATTTTGTTGTAGTTGGATAAAACAAAACTCAAATCAACATACACACATTTAAACCTAAAAAATACCAAAGACTAACAAATATAAAAAAAAGGCCAAAAAAAGTAAAAAAAGATTCCTATACCATGTTTTGATCCAAAGAAGCCCTTAAAGCGAGCTAGTCAAAAGTCAAACATTCTCCAGCCTTCTCAATCCTAGCTCTAGTAGTTTCAGTAAACCTAAGTATAGTAACCTTTGATGCTAGAACTTCATAAACCTTTATATCATCTATCATTGTCCCTACTACCATAGCAATCTTATCCTCATAAATTTTATTTTTATATATAATGAATTAAACACAATAGCAATAACAATATAAAGATCTTAAAAATTTTTATATTGTCCATAAACTTGAAAAATTTATTGAAAAAAATACAATTATTTTTTAGCCTAAAAGACAAATTGAAAATATTCATAATATATAAGCTCTCAAAGGTTCACCATTCGAATAAATGCAAAGTAAATGGGAAATGAGTGCAAGTTATAGGCTTGAGGCATTGGCAAAAAACCACCATTTTTCTCTCACTTTAGTCTTCTTAAAATTAATCATAGAACAGCACCAAACAATTCTTATAAAAAAAACATGTTATCAAATAAAGAATACGAAGCAATATGTAAAAAGTCATATTCCAACCATTATACATGCAATGAAACTATTACAAAAGTTGGAGAAAAGTACCAAACCAACATGAACAAATCCTTAAATGGAAAAAAAAAAAGTCTGAAGACAAAAACTAATGAAGCAAAATTTAAAAATAGCAAAATGATACTAATAACCTAAAAAAAAAAGAAAAAAGGAAAAAATAGAAGTAATCCAATTGCTTTCCAACATAAGCAATCCATGCCTAAAAATAAAGGACTATAAAGTTAGTATAATTGGATTATTTAGACTATACATTGAAATTTTTTTAAAAAATAAAATTTACCAAATAAAAAAAGTTTTAACAAAATAAAAAGATACAAATTTTAATAAAAAATTAAAAAAAAAAAACCAGAATTCTAAGAGGAGCTTGACTCTTTATTTATGCTTACACATAACAAGTTAAACTTGTTTGGCAAATTTCTTTAAGAATTTTTTGGCTTCTTCTTCTCATGGTTTCCTCTTCAATGCTTTGATTTCCCAAACCTTGTGTAAATCCCCCATATTCATTTTCCCTTTTTAGCTAATTTTGGGTAAAATCTAAACTTTAATTTGTAAAGAACTCTTGATTTCTAAAAGTTTAAAACTTTGGGTAAGAATTTGGGATTAGGAAATACACGGATTTGGCTTGTTAGGAGATGGGAAGTGCTTTTGTTGTTTTTTTGTGTTAATTTCATAAATGTCAATTTCATAATACCAAATAGTAATCTAAATTAACATACAACATAACACATATCAATTTGCAAATTTTCATGTGTCAGCATAAGATTACTTGAATTAACTATACACTTTTACCACCATTTCAAAAACACAGATACATATAAAGACATTTTAGAAACATGAAATAATAATAAAAAAACTATCAAATTTTAACTATTAATAATAATAAAAAAAAACTATACCTTAGTTGAACATAAAACTCTTAGCTAATTACTTGATAGGTCAGTCAGAGAAGTGAGGGGAGCTCAAGATTTCTCTAGTAGTGTATGAATCAAAAGCTGCAACGAGAGGTGTGGAACTAAGACTAAAAGCCATAAGTTGAGTGTTGGACCCGGACCAAGCCATGGCATGAAGAGAATGGTGAAAAGAAAATTACACTTGTCATCACCAAGATTCTTAAAAGATCTTTTTTTATATAAAGTAATATCGATATAGGCATTTATCATTAAAATAATAATATAATACCATTTATTATTGAAATATTAAAAATACTTATGTTTAATAATATACATAATAGAAATATTTAAAATTAAAATATCAAAAAACTTTTAAAATTAATATTTTAATTAAAATTAAATAAAAATATTTTTATTAATATAATAATATTTTAAGTCAAGTTTAAAATATAATGTTCAAGGCTTGAATTAAATAAAACTATAAAAATATTTAAAATTAAAAAATTAGAAGATTTTTAATGTTAACATTTTAAATTATTTTTAAGTAAAATTAAATAAAAATATTTTTATTAATATAATAATCTTTTGGGTCATGTTAAATTAAACTTGAGTTTAAAAAAATTATATTCAAGATCTAGCTTAGATAAAATTATGTGTTAAACATCTAACTTAAAATTAATTGACAATAAGTAGAAGGACCTAACTCAAATACAAGATTATAAGATATTGAAAATTTATTAGATATGGAATAATCCACTTTAACAAGGCCCCCATCACATGTAAATGAAGATGAAAGAAACTTTTCACGTGATAAATTAAGAAAAGACAACTGAAAAAAAATCTTGATTTTAATGTCATGTTAAGCATTTAACTTAAAATTAATTGATAATAAGTAGAGAAGTTCAAATTGAATATTAGACTATAAAATATTAAAAATTTATTAGATATGTGATAATTCACTTTAACACTATATTCATGAGTTTGACAAATAAGTCTATTTATAGATAATTTTTTTTTAAATTATCAAATTGAATTTTGACAATTTAAAAAAAAATCTTACTTTCATTAATCAAGAAATCATTTTTCATTAAACAATAAATTTTCTACCAAATAAACATAAAAATACAAAAATTATTTTTGAAAATCATTTTCGGCTAAACAAACTAAGCTAACGTTAGAGTATACAAATAACACGTATTACACTAAGTGAGGGTATTTGTTTTAATTACTGTCCATTCTATTGTAGGGCAGCCAAGTAATTATGGTGAGAGTGTAGCTGAGACATGTGAGAAGGGGGGGGGGGGGGAGAGAGACTTGAGAGGAAATTGGGCCGGGGGAGCTCGGCCGTGAATCAACATAGTCACAATCGTCGGAAGTTTCAAAGAAGAGAGGCGGAGGGCAGTGGACCCTACCCCTACGCGGAAATTGATGTCATCTTTTTCGTTGTTATTATTACTATTTATTATTTATTTATTTATTTACAAATAAACATGTGAAGAGGACTTTCAAAATTCAAAAGAAAAAGCGCCCACTATTCCCTAACACTAAAAATTTTCCAAAAAAAAATCACTAATACTTTAAAAAATAACAATATTTCCTTACTGTAAAAAAGTAACAATAACAAAACTGCACTAATATTGCTAAACTGTGTTATTTTTATTATATATTATCTCGGCTGTTTGGTGCTGTCAAAGTTGAATTTCAACCATTCTCCGTTCTCCCAACCAATCAAACCATTCAAGAAAAACGACTATTCTTTGCTTGTATTCTTATTTTATTTATTTAACATATCATTTCATTTGAAAAAAAAAAATCAAGGAAATGAAAATTTCATATAATAATAAATAAATAATAAAAACAACCGGTAAAGAAAGCAAATTTTATGGCTTTGGCTTTCTAGTATTAGAAATTGTATTTAAAATTTCTTATTACACGGTTTTTTTTTTTTTAACAGGATAGTCAACCTTTATCTATTCTTCAATACTTTTTCTGATCCTAACTGCTCCTGGTACTACAATTATGTCTTACAAGCAGAGGTTTAATATATTAATAAAAAAACCTATTATGTATTGAGTTAGAGTTTTTGGTTTTGTATTCACCACCTGACCATTCCATCCGTCTTTCTTTCTTTCTTCTGGGTAATTTAACCAAACGAAAGATACTATCAGTATTTTTATATGTTGAAGTTGAAGACATGAGCAAACATTCATCAGTTGCAGGTGCCTCCCACCCTGTTAAAGAAGCCGGCTTTTTTACCAAGATCAAGGTATTCAATTCCACTCTGTGTGTGTGTATATATATACAGACATACACATATATGAACTTGAAATAAACATCCATCACTTGATTTAAATTTTGGATTGCAGAAGGTTGCTTGCCTCAAGTCATCCTCTTCAGACGGTGGGAAAGGGGGAAAAGGGAAAAGCAATTCATCAAGTAACAAAGTGTCCCATGGATTCCACTTAGTGGAAGGTCAATCAGGCCATGATATGGAAGATTACCATGTTGCTGAATACAGAAAAAAGAGGAATCATACGCTTGGATTGTTTGCAATCTTTGATGGTCACTTGGGGGATCGTGTGCCCACTTATTTGAAAGACAACCTTTTCAACAACATACTCGAAGAGGTATCTTTCTTTTCTTACTATCACTTCCAATTGCTTGTTATATTATATATAACTATGTTTTCCCCTTTACCAATGTGAAACTATGCAGCCAAATTTCTGGAAAGACCCTGAGGCTGCAATAAGGAATGCATACCGCTCCACTGATAAGTTTATATTGGACAACTCTATGCAATTAGGGCCAGGTGGCTCTACTGCGGTTACTGCCATTGTCATTGATGGCAAAGATTTATGGGTCGCAAACATTGGTGACTCTAGAGCTGTTGTGTGTGAGAGGGGCTCTGCCAATCAAATTACAGTGGACCATGAGCCGCATGCAGAACGTACAAGGATAGAGAAGCAGGGTGGCTTTGTTACTACTCTTCCTGGTAATGTACATATTATGATTTTCCATTTATCACTGCCTGCACTAGGATCATTCCAAGCTGCTAATGCCACTTCCATATGATTGGCAGGCTACATGAATGCATATGTGATTGTTTAATTACAAAAATAGTTAGACAATGAAAATGACATTCTTATTTCAGGAGACGTGCCTAGGGTTAATGGCCAACTTGCAGTTGCAAGGGCTTTTGGGGATCAGAGCCTTAAAGCACATTTAAGCTCAGAACCTGATGTCAGACATGTCCCAATAGACTCCACTATTGACTTTGTAATACTGGCTAGTGATGGATTGTGGAAGGTCAGTTGTTCAATAGGTTATGCTAATTGCATTTGATCACTTTTATATCTATCTTTGATCTCTATTAGGCATCTCCAGTTTTGACTGGTGCTTGGAGCACCCAAAAGCTTAAGTAATTGCACATATGTTAAATTGTCTATTGAACCAAAGAGCTGGATACATTTTAAAATATAAAAACCAGGGGAGGGTGGGGGGTGGTGGACTGCAGCCTGATTCATCTGAAAAAGAAGCGAAATTGGTGAAACAAATAGAAGAACCAGAGGGAGAAGATTCAATTACATGATCTCAAATTCTGAAAATTTCAATAATTTGATACTCCAAAACCTCTCGAAAAATGGAATAGCAGAGGCGCATATAAACTAAACCTTAAACCATAATAGAAATGCAAACTACTAAACAACACCTAAATGCTCTAGTACTTGGAAAATGAGCAATATACTGGTTAATAGAATAAATAATCTAACAAGCCTACATATATCTATATATATGTACAAACAATATAATTAATCCCAAAAAAGTAGTAAAATTACAAGATAAAATGATCAGTAGTTTAATCCCTCAAGTAACTCTTTTCCATACTGCATCACATATAGATTACTTTTTGGCCTGGGGCAAAATTTTGATGCATTGATCCTTTGAAACCATCTCATACTTTTCCTCAATAAAGATGAACATGAGATATTTTCTGCCGACCTTTCTCTCTGCATTTCTAAATGTTTGATTGAATATGCTTTCTGATTGGTGCATCTTAGGTAAAGGATCAGAATTTTTCTTAAAGAATAGCTTTTCTTTTTTCTTTCTTTTTTTTTTTTTTTTTAATAATTACCTAATGGATAGGTTTGATTGTTTTGATCTTCTACGAGTATAGAAAGGGGAATTACTTTTTCTTTAAAGGTTGGGAAAGTTTAGTTATGATTTGCAAATTCAAATTTTTTATTTTAGAGAACAGAACTGCCAAGGTTTTGCTTTTTTTTTCAAATTTATAGGGGGGTGAGTTGGAGTTGGACAACGGAGAGAGAAAGAGGAGGGAGGGAGAGGGTGGGAGCTATCTTGCTGAAATAGTTGATATCTTAATCTGAATCTTCCTTACAAAGCATTTTAATGACCTCAATTCTGTTTTGTTTCTTTATTTGAAGACCTGATCTTGACAGACCTTACTTAAATGTAGTTCCAATGTCAAGAGATTTGTTCCATGAGATTCCTTGTCCTACTCATTCATGAATCATTCCTTGGATGTAACTGTGAAAAATGTTTACTAAAAATCTGGTCAACAGCCTTGCTCTAAGAAAATGCTTTCTTGCAAACAACTATATTATCATTGAAACATAGTGTTATCCACTAGAAGTACCTCAATAATGAATAATATAGATTTTATTATAGTTTTTGCCTCAAAGTAACTGATAGGACTGAGAACAACTAGAGATTTGGCTCATCTTTATTGTTATGCTTCACCAATTTTATGACAGGTTCCTCAACCACAATCATATGATAGGGGATTCTTATTTGGCCGATCTCTCTCTCTTTCTCTCTCTCTCAACATTGCCGAGGGGATGGAGGAAGATATGCTAATTCTGAAGACAAATGAACATTTTCATTTTGTAGAATATTTACGAGTTTAGCTATGGACAATTGAATAACCAAACTACTCCCAGTAATAAGTTGCTTATGTTTTACTTAATGATTTAAGTAGTTGCTTCACCTCTGCTTGAACTTAGGTCAAGAGTTCAAATAGTTAAGCTTAGCATGTTAATTGCTTCAACAATTTGAGATTGGGTCAACTCACTCTGTATTATCAAATATATTCCACTCCAACTTTTTTAAGTAATGCAGAGATCATTATTTAAAATGTTAAGAAGACATAATTTGACTGGAGTCTAAATTAGAAGACATATCATATTTTTCTGTTGTTGAAAGAATTCTATTTCAGTCTTCTTTTTGGAAAGAGTTAATGCTTAATTGAGCCAAATTTTAGTTGGACTACATTTACATATTTGATTGGTTAGAGTAAGAAACTGTTTGCTGTCCTTTATTTTTTTATTTTTATTTTCTCAGTGTGACCATTGTTGTATGATCAAGTTCAAACTAGTTTCTTAACAGACTCATAAATAAATTTGATATGCCTGGAAGTTTTACCAATTCACATTGTTAAACAACAGAATTCAGGTCCCACCCCAGCAGTTAGAATTTGGGATTTTATGTTGGAATAATGCAGGAGCATTCTAGAAGTTATCTAATTGTCTATCTTGATCTGTTTTACTTTATGTTTACTGTTTTACTATTGTTGTTGGTTAATAATAATGTTTTTATTTTATTAAGTGGTCATGTGACTAGTATGTGATCTAATGAGATTGAATGGCTCGGATTAGATGGGATTTATGTGTATGCAAATGCTAGGATTAAATCTGTAGTTATCGGTTAATAATTAGGTTTTTAATTTTAGGAAGTGGTTATGTGACTAGCATTTGACCTCTAAAATAGTTTGGTTGGATAGGATTAGATGCAGTTTATGTGTGTCTAAGGGTTAAGGTTAAAAGATGCTTTTTCTTTTTTGGATAAGCATAAAAGCTGCTGTAACCCTTGTATAAAATATAATAGTCTTTTTAGACACACTGTATTATATTGGGATATTTTCTATTAGGTTTTTTTACAACTCTAAATTGTTCCAACTTTGATTTTACATCAATATTAGCCTTTCTTTTGGTTTCTTTCCCTTTTTTTGTTTTCTTTTTATTTTTCTACTTCTGCACTGTATCATGGAGGTCTCAAGTTCAAATATTAAAAAATGGGTGGTGGCTATCATTGAAGGTGCTAGTAGTCACGTAGACCTTGTGGCACAAAGCAGAAAAAAATTGATTCGTTTTTATGTAAAAGAAACTGCTTTTTCTTTTTGCACAAAAAAGAAAGTGATTGTTGAGTCCACTAATTTCTAAAAAGAAAATAAATGTATGTAAAAAAATCTAAGAGAAATTATTTACTATTCTATGAACTTTAGAACATAAATTGTATTAATAAACCTCCAAAAGTCAGTTTATTCTATTGCTTAACATATTAGAAAGATAAAGCATTAGCAAAATTAACTAAAGCATCATCAAACTTTAGCTCTAAGTTCCTTCACTCCCATTTTAAATAAGGAAGTAATTAGTTATATATACAAAATGTCACTAGTTCGTTTTGTTTTCAAAAGACATAAACATTGCCTGTCTTTGTCCATGATAATTCAGCCAATTAGTTCATATGTCAAGGACATGTAAAGTTTTGCTCGTTGTTGGGGTGCCTGCTTTCTTTTGCCCTTTGCCTTTCAAAGTAATGGGCCTTGCTAGAGAGACTCATTTGGAGGGCTACAAAGCACTTTGCTGGATTGCTCTGTGCCTTGACAAACATCGGTCCCCCTTTTCACTTGGCAACACTGAATATATGCTAAGACTTCTGAAATACTGATCCTAAGAATGAAGATTTAAGACTTTAGTCCTTACCTTGAAAATCTACCCTCTTAAATGTGCTATTGAGGTTTTTCCTCACAAACTCTGGAGGTTTGGGCAAGGATCAGGTGTTGTAATCCAAATCACTTTCCCCCTTTCTCATTATTGGTTAAAACTAAAAATTTAGTACTAGCATAATTTTGTAGTTCTCAGTTACTAAATTTGGCACTTAAATTCTTTTATTAGCTTGAAAGCTATAGCAATTTACAATTGAAGAGTGTAGAATATGTTATAATGTGGTGTAGTGTGACGAAAAGAGTTGGTCACATACCACTTGGGTGGTGGGGACAGTTGTGATGGTAACAACAGTGATGCTGCTACTAGAGAGTACACCAGTGTTGGTTATGTTGGTGTTAATTTTACTAATTGTGGTTGTTATGTTGACTACATAAGCAAATATTAACTATAAAGGTGGTGGCTGTGATTGCAGTGGTAATGGTAATATCTTTGTTTTGTCTTCAACATTTGACATGGTTTGGTTGCATTTTTGGTGGTGGCAATGTCATTGATTGTGCATCAGAATAATCCTTTGATTTGAGAGATGTTGTGCCTAATGGTTGTTAAGGTCCTTAATTGCTTATCTTGGGAATTATTATTTTTATTGTTAATGATAAATCTAAAAATCAACATGGAAAACTTCATTTGCATCACAATTAACAAAATTATAAGTTTGGAAATTTATTATTTATTGCTCAAATTGCCATAACAGGGAAATCATACACAACACTTGAATACATCAAGGAGCAATCCTGTCTTTCTACATTTTTTTCTTTACTTTTGTCTTTGTAAGTAGCCCAGGCATGATACTGTGGATGTTCATATTATAAGTTATCCAAAGATAACTAGTTTGATTTGGTTGGCAGGTAATGAAGAATGAAGAGGCAGTTAATCTGGTAAAATCCATGAAGGACCCTCAAGCAGCAGCCAAACGATTAACGACAGAAGCATTGGCAAGAAAGAGCAAAGATGATATATCATGCATAGTAATTCGTTTTGGCTGATGCTACTAAAGCCAGTGCTTTAGTTGGCATTGTTCCTCCTAAACTTTGTATCGGTTGGTTCACCATTGGAAGGTGTAAATAGGGGAAACCCTTTTGAGTTGGAGAGCTTCATCATGTATGAATGTGGTAGATTTCTTTGTAGGGACAGTGATGTCTGTTTGTCTGAGCTAGTTGAGATAGCAGTGTGCTGCATTTTTTTTGTGTTCCCAGGGAGCTTCCTCATTAATCCATGATTATGAGCTGGTTAATATATATATATATATATATATATATCTAGTTGTGTGGGGGCTTGGGTGCAATTAATGAGGATAATTCTATCGTAAGACCTGTGAATGTGATTGAAAAAGTAAAAGGTAGAACAGAGATTGGTTCTATTCAGGAGTGTACACTGTGTGGATACAAATAAAGGTATGATACAAATATACACTTCCATTCCATGTACTATATATATACATATACTTTGTATTTTGTCATTGGCTTGTATGTGTAGACTACTCCCATTATGAGCACTTTTTTTCTTCTATTTTTCCAACCCTGCATAAAAAATAGATAGAGAAATGAATGAGATTAGATTTCAAGAGAATGAGAAGGGACTTAATATTCTGCCAACTTTGCTCGATGGAATGCTGGTGTTTTTCCAGTTGAATTATATGATTTTTTTTTAAAACTAGTTTAATCATCTTCAAAATGGTCCCTATGTATATAGATATGGGGCAATTTGTGTACTGTTTGCTTTATGTAAAATACAAAAATTATCATATCATAATTTATATCAACATATCAAATATAAAATAATTTTTATTTTTATCAAATTCATATATAATTTTTATTATAGAATATATATATATATTTTTTTTCTTTTGGGTATTATTTTCTTGTAGTCTCTAAACTGTGTCCTATTTAAAATTATCCTACCATTTTCTGTGAATATATTCTGTGCTGCCCTGCTCCTATATGGTGAATGCTAAAGCATTAATAACTAGTGAACTGAATCTTGCATAGAAGATTAGATGTTCATGCTCCAACTTCACGAGTGGGATCAGATCAATAATTGTGTGACGTGATAACTTTACTTTCTTTCCACCTTCAGCCTCGGCACGACCGACAGAAGTGCTTTCTGCTTAATTTTTTCTGTTTCACTTTTCCAACACTATCATTCGCACTGCTTCGTGACTGATTTTTACTGGGTGATGAGGAGGGGAGTTAATTATTTATCCCACATTTGGTCATGCTTTAACCCCGCTAAAAAACAAACAGACATCCACGTCCCAGATCTTCCATGAATTTTACATTACAATATATAAATACAAAAAAAAAAAAAAAGAGTAATGGTATAGGAGAAGTTATATCATCATTCATGAGTCGTTCCTAAATCCTAATTGAATCCACATATAATTTTATAAATTACACACAAAGTGTTCAACTCATTGCCCGTATAACAAATATATTAGCAGAAGGATGCCAAAGAAAGAAATAAAAGATGAATTATTATATATATTTAGAAAAAAAAAATAGTGCTCAAGCTGAACAAAAAACACACAATTAACATGCGAGCCACTCATGGTTGATGGTTGCACCAAAAGAATTTGAATTACAACTCAATGGCGCGCAACAACATTCCATTAGTAGTAGGGAATCACGGGCGGAGGAGGAGATGCGTATGATACTCCTCTAATTGGTGGAAGTGGTCTGTTTTCAAATGAGGGTGGCAGAGGAGGAGGAGGTGGTGGGGATGAATCTGAATAGTGGGTTGATGGAGGAGGGGGAGGAGCGTTTTGATGCTGCGGGGACGGTGGGTAATGCCATTGTTGTTCAGGAGGTGGGGGCGGTTTTGAATAGTGATGACCAGGTGTTGGTGCATATGGTGATGGGGTTGAATTGTGCCTTGGCGGTGGTGGTGATACTGGAGTTGTGCACTCTGGTGGGGGTGGAGGAGGGAGAGGATGACATGGCTCATTGGGTGGTGGTTGATATTCTACCGGTGGAGGAGAGACTGAGTCCACGGATGCTCGTTTGATGGCGGAGGAGAAGGTGTGTATTTTTCCATTGGTGGTGGAGGTGGACTTACTGGCTGCCCCTTTGATGGATAAGGAGGTGGTGTTCTACTTCTATGTTCATTCTGCGGTGGGGAATACTGAACCTGAGTTGGTGGCGGTGGTGAGGGTGGTGTATTATGGTAATGGCTTGTTGGTGGTGGTGTATTATAGTTATGGCCTGATGGAGTTGATGGAGGTGGTTGTACTATTGGTGGTGAAGTTGGTATATTATGGTAATGGCTTGGTGGTGGTGGTGGTGTATTATAGTTATGGCCTAATGGAGTTGATGGAGGTGGTTGTACTATTGGTGGTGAAGGTGGTATGTTATGGTAATGGCTTGGCGGTGGTGGTGAAGGTGGTGGAGGTGTTTTATAGTTATGGCCTGATGGAGTTGATGGAGGTGGTTGTACTATTGGTGGTGAAGGTGGTATATTATGGTAATGACCTGGTGGTGGTGGTGGTGTATTGTAGTAATGGCCTGATGGAGGTGCTTGTGCTATTGGTGGTGGAGGCGATTGTTTGGGCTCGTAGTGAACAGGTGGAGGTGGCGGCGGAAGTTGCGTCTTAGGTGATACCCTTTGAGTAGGGGGTGGTGGAGTTGAAAAGTGAGAGTTATTTGGTGGTGGTGGTGATGGTGGGGAATGGAAAGGAGGAATTGGGGAAGAAGGCGATGATGGTGGAGGAGGAGGATGTGATCTGGTGGAAGGCGAAGACTCTGAAGAAGGTGGTGGTGGGGATTTCATAAACGGCCTTGGAGCAGGAGGCCTTTTTTTCGGCGATGGGGAACTGCCACTACCGCCACCAGAACTTCCACCACCACTACATTTGAACTTTCTGCAGTCCACAGGGCGAGCAGCATCGGAAGAGCATTCCCTGGAGGATCTCTGATCCTTCTTGCCAGGAATACAGTTCATGGTACCATTTGACACCCTACCAACACCAGAAATTGCGGAGCAACTTGGTGGTTCTCCAGTGAAATAATTGAAAGAGTAAGTAAAGTTTTGCAAGTTGGGTAGCTGGCAAACAGTGGCTGGAATCACACCCGTGAAGCCATTGTGGGCAACATCCAGCTGCTCTAAGCTCTTCATGTTGCCAATGGAGGCTGGCAGAGATCCCTGGAGATGATTGAAGCTCACATCAAAGACGGTAACTTCCTGGAGCATCCCGATCTGTGGAGGCAAACATCCAGTAAGGTTGTCGTTCATGAGTATGATTTCATTCAGCGTTTTGCCCATCTTCCCAATGCTTCCAGGAATGCAACCTCCGAGATCATTGTTGGCAAAGACCAGTACGGAAACAGGAGAGTTTCCAAGATTCTCAGGAATACCAAATCGGAACCTGTTATCGTTTAAGAAAAGGGCATCAAGTTCCTTGTCAAAGAGCTTGGAGGGAACTGACCCTTCAAACTCATTGAATCGAAGATCCAAGTACTTGAGAGAAGGCAGAGACAGAACCACATTGGGGAATTTGCCTACAAAGCGATTGTTGCTCAAGTCAAGCTCATGAAGGAGCTTCATGTGGCGAAAGCTGGTCGGAACAACACCACAGAAGCGATTGGAGTTAAGGTGAAAGAGTGCAAGATCGGTGAGGCGGCCAAGCTCTGGAGGGAGATAGCCAGCAATGTCAGCGTGGTTGAGGTCAATGCCGGCCACAACTCTGATTTTGGGATTGAACGGAGAGGGAGCACAGTATATTCCCATGTAAGAACAGACATCAGACCCATTCCAGTTGGCTGTGAAGTTAAATGGGTCGGAAAATATGGCAGACTTCCAAGCTTGCAAAGCAATGTAGGCTTCACGAATCCTTGGGTTCTCAAACCGCAGGTTTTGATCTACTACAACATCCAACTCTTCATCCTCGTCGGCTGCAGAGCAGATCTGGGAGAGGAAAGAATTAGAAGCAAGCAAGAAAATGACAAGGAAGAAGGAGGCAGGCAGACGAGGAGGAGGAAGAGACATTTGTGGGTGGTTGCACAAGAATGGCACAAGCAGAGATCAAAGTCACATGAATAAGGCTGATTGTGTCTTATGAGTCCGTCTCCACATTGTTTGTTTTATAAAGCATAAATTCTAGCCAGTTGGTGGTGGGGGTTTCATTGTAGCTATATTTTATTTGTATTTTATTTTTACTGTAACAAATGCTAAGAGGAGTAGTGTTGAACTGATTTAGGAGGGAAAATTACAATTTGTTTAGATTTTCGAACTTGGATCAATCTAATCTGAGCTTATTCTAAAAAAGAACAAAATGATGACATGCTGGCACGTCTCCACATAAATGATTTGTAGATTTGCGGATTTTATTTATTTGTTTATTTATTAAAAAGATACATAAAAAAAAAATTTAAAAATCAATTTTAAATATAATTATATGATACAAAAATTATATTATTTTTATATTTTAATAAAAATTATATATAAATTTTTAAAAAATAATCATAAACTATGAATTAATAAATTTAATATTTTATATATTAAATAAAAATAATTAAATTATCAAACCTAAAAATAAACACCGAATTAAACTATTATTAATTAAGATTGGTGGTAGAATAGCGTGGATGATTGAATGTTGAAGGACGTGTCAGCCACTGTCCTTTTCTCTTTGATCACTTTCCCCGTTCGCAGCTACCAGGACATTGAAGGATTCATCTGCCCTCTTTGTTTTCTCTCTCCTATAACGCTATCAACAACAAAAGTAGAGTAACAGTAACTAGTCTGTTTCATGTATTAACTCTTTCCAAGTGCCAATCCCTCAAAGCAATAAAAAAGTGTCACCGTCTACTATTTTTTTACATAAAAAAAGAAAAGAAAGATAAAAACGAAAAAGAGAGGGGCTGGCATCGGATGAATCCAAGCAAAGCGAGAATGCGCGTGGCAAGTCAGTCAACTTGAATGATGCGAGACAAATAATAATAATAATAACTCTAACTCCAATCAAATTAAATATACTCAAAATTGTTGTCCATCAACGTTCACCGTTAAATTTGATGCATCATAATACTTCTTTTAATTTTTGTTGAATAATTATTATATTTTTAAATCTTTTGCGGTTTCTTTGTAAAATTACGTTAAAAATTCTTGTATTTTATCAAAACTTAAAATTTTGTCTATATTTTGTAATTTATATAAATTTACTTTTATATTATTTTAATTTGATAATATTACTTCAATTACTAATTTTATTAAATTTTTACCCTTAAAAATATAAATGTGATAGTTGACTGGATAATATAATCGTTAACTTAATGATGTAAGCATTAATTTTATTGATATGTCAATTTGAATAAATTAAATTAGTTATCAAATTATTCAAATAGCTTTTATACTCACACAAAATTTAAACTTTAATCCTTCTCATATAATTCATAAAAATTTCATTTTCTACAAGTTTATTAGATAATATTGGTTCGATTACTAATAAAAATTATATTTTTTACTTTTTTTTAAAATATCATATTTTAATTTTGTAAAAAAGTCCATATTTTGAAACTTTTATATTTTTTTACTTTTTTAAAATATTAAATGTAATATATATTTTAAATATTTTAATTTTCAAAACTCATATTTTTAAAATTTTTTAAAATCTAATTTTATTTTTTTATATTCAATATTTTGAATTGTTAGAATTTTCTTTATTTTTTTAAAATATTAAATTTATTTTTCAATATTTAAAATTTTTAAATTAAATTCATTTTTTTAAGTTTTATATTTTTTTCAAATTTTAACATTTTTATTTAATCAAAATATTTAATTTTTTGTTTTTAATTTTTAGAATTTTTATAACATTTTCTATATTTTAATGTTTTATGTTTTTTTTTGAAATTTTTGAAATTTTTTATATTTTTAATATTTAAATAAAAATAAATAAATTATAGAGAAGATATGAGTCTTCAAAATTTATTTTATTTTGGTATATTTGATGTAAAAGAACATAAAAATTTTGGGTAAAACAGAGTAATAGTAAAACACAATTTGTTTTTAATTATGATTTATTCTTCACTTAAATAACATAAGAAACTTGTAGAGAACTTTTAGAATTTAAAAACTATTTAAACAATAAAAAATTAAGAACATATATAATTTCTAAAATAAAGAGAAAAATATAAAAAATATAAAAAAATTTTGAAAAAAATTTTAAAAATAATAACATTAAATGTTTTGATAAATAAAACTATTAAAATTTGAGAAAAAAAACTTAAAAAATTGAAATTAAAAAAATAATAAGTTGAGAAAAATAAATTTAATATTTTTAAAAAAATCTAGAAAATTTTAAAAATCGAAATATTAATTTTTTTAAAAAAATAAAATATGATTTTAAAACAAAAAAATTATGATTTTTTTTAAATAAAACATTTAAAATATCAAATTTAATGTTTTTTAAAAATATGAAAATTTCTAAAAAAATTCAAAATATTAATTTAAAAAACATTGAAATATGATTTTTTAAAGAAATAAAAAATAATTTTTATTAGGAATTGGATCCGTATTATCAAATTTGACTTATATGAGTATAAGATTTTATAAATTACATTAGAGGGACTAAAGTTCAAAATTTGTGAGAGTATAAGATTATTTTCATAATTTAATAACCAATTTCACCCATTCAAGTTGTTATGTCAACAAAATCAATACTACATGAACAAAGTCAATACTCATGTCCAAGTTATCAAGTCAACTTTTACGTCATCATTTTAACGATAAAAATCTGATAAGTTAATGATTGGATTAAAAATATCAAGTTAAAATAATATGAAAATTAAATTTGTATGAAATATAGTACAAAAACTAAAATTTAAATTTTACCGAAGCCAAAACACAAATTTTCGGCATAATTTGATCGTTTTTCTTTTAATAAAGAAAATAAATTGCCCAAATCAAACAATCATAACTTTTTTAAAAAAAATTGAAAATCAAGTTTGAAAGAGTGTTAAAAATGATAATTCGGTGTCATATGTTCCAATAGATATACTATAGTCAATAGTAAGATCTAGTTCAAAGCAAGAAAAAAAAAAACAAAAAGAAAAACAACCTAAATGTTCTACTTGCTATCATCCCTAGACATGAATTGAAAATCATATAAGAACTTTATCATAAAAGCGACTAACAAATGACAACAATGTCTAAATTTAAAAAATGGACGTTCAACATAAAATAATTGACAATATATAAGCGAAGATGTCTTTTTATATTTATTGCCTATACAAAAAATGTTATATAGATCTATTTTATGTTGTCATTAACAAAAAACCAATCATGACCAACATGTCATTAAAACTCACCATATAAATATAACAACCATGTTATTATAAACAAAATGTGGGTTTATTTCAAAGGATGATTGGTTCAAATGATAAAAATATATATATGATTTTTTTTTGTTTTATGAGTTCAAATCCATTTAAAGACTATGATAAGATAAATTTTTATAAATTTATTAAGTTCAATGTAAATAAAATATGATCAAATTGATCCAAAAAGATGTACAAAGGAAAACTCAAAAATCCATTATTGCTAAATAAAATAGTTATGCACGTTAAAATGATAATTTTAAATAATGATGTGTTATAGCCTTATTATTGGTTGGATTTTGCAGCTGACATGGTACAAATGATCTACCTAATAATTCTTCTATAAAATATCCCAAATTTACATTTTGCAAAATTTGTTTTAAATCTGTTTTAATAAATAACAAAAAAAATACTATAGTAGATCGAGCATGAACTTTACATATTTAATAAAGATAAATAAAGACAAACTCAAAATTTAATCTAGTTGATTCATACAATTACTCTTAAAAACTAAAATCTAATAAATTTAGATTTTACATCCCAGTATCTTTATTTTTTTTCCTATTCTCAAGCGATGGCCTTTTATCTAAAAATAATAATAATAAAAATGTTAAATGCATGGTATAAAATAAAAGTATGCATGGTTGGTCAAGATGTTTATACGATGAGTCAAGTTTGATTAAACTTAATTTGGCACTTCATAATGTTTACCTAAGACCCAACCAATTTAGCTTAATTAGTTCTTCCTTCTTGTTGAGCTTAAAGTTGAACTGTATGCATTTTTCCTAGTCATTTTCAAAAAAAGGTATAAGTACGAGCTCTTAGGCTAATTCAAGTCAGGTTAGACTAGTTTCTAGTCTTTGATCGATGATCTCTTTTAACATGTCCAATTTAGGCTTTGCTCTTACGAAAAGGACATTTATCAATGTGAATTCATTTTTTTTTTCATTTAGTTGTTTGTTTGTTTTGAGGAAATAATGTTTAACTAGTAAAAAAATAAAAAAATGCATTAAGATGTTAAGTATAAGTTGTGTTCAAATAAAGTAAAAAAAAAAAAGAAAATTTTCTATTCATAAAGTAGTTTTAATGTTAACTTAACAATTTAGCTTTACACTAGATAAAACTTTTATTTACAAATCTTAAGATTAAAAGTTTATTTAAGTGTTTGGCTTTTAGAAGAGCTCTATTTTCATTTCCTTTTCCTTTTCTAATTAGTTGTTGTCTTCTTACCATCACTTAAAATTTTCCTTTTCTTGCATTTCCTCGATCTTGGTTGCATAGCATTATTTGGCTATGGATTGATCTCCTCTAACCTCTTCTATCTTATTAAGAGTTTGATTTTGAAGTGAAGAGCTAACCCTATAACTTTCATAATAGATTGGCTCGGTCATCCTAATATCATGTTATAAGTTAAAGGGACATCTACCACCATAAACTTAATGTCGAGGCTATTATTCTAGGTTTGATTCCTAAGGTATCATAACTTGATAGTTCCTTTTATAGGTATTGTCTTATTTTCGAAATCAATCAAAGTGGTGGTGAATGGCCTCAGCATATCCTTGGTAATTCCATTCTTTTCATTGTTGAATAATATATATATTTTTTACTCTTAAGAACATGTTAGCTATAGTTTTTTAGAGTTTCAAAGAGAGATAATTTGAAATGATACTCATTTTCATAGAGCTCATTTGTGAGGGTGCTTAAAGCTACAGCTTACTCTAAGTCCTTGACTTGAAGAACTTTAGTGTTAATAATCATCATACATGCTTTCACAAATTCTTTATGCTCTTATTTGATTGATATCAGGCTTTAGGTTATCTTTTTTGTTTGGCAATTACTTATAAAGTGCATTATAGATGAGTGGCTAAGCTGTTTAAAAAAAAAAGATTAACTTAAACTTAAGGCTGATGTACCAGGACTGAGCTATTTC